AACTCGAGGTTATTAGCCAGCAAATCATCCTTTTGCTTCTTCTCGGTCCCGACTGCTGTTAACCCGTCCTGACTACTAATACTGACCTCAATCAGGATTACTTCATGTCGCTCCTCATTGCGGATCATGATCTCAGGTTAATCCGTACTTATCTTCACAGCTGTTCATATTCGTGTATCGAATCCGATTAAACATCTTTCTATCTTGAAGGTTACAGTATCGTGCTTCATCTTGCGGGGCAACGTTTTCGTATCGCAGCCATTTTGATGAATCAGCTATGGACGAGATTTTATTCGCCCGCATTTTGTATAGCTTTGCTTATTCGTCCGCATTTTGTATAGCTTTTTGTTTTCTTTTCTATTCCGCTGTACAAGAACGCCTCTCTGACTGGTAATACGTTTCTGACAGTATGATTTTCTGCGAGATTGTAATTAGTCTTTATATAGGGTACAGTAACTGCCAAATTCGTTTTATGAGCCTTCTCCTGCTTCAGAATCGTTGCCCTTCTGGTACAAATGGGTGCGGTATCTACAAGAACATTATGTAGCTGGAGACGCTCAGCATTATGAAGTTCATGTCGTACCTCGTCCCTTGGCAGGTACAATCATCCCAAGCATGTAGGTTGGCAACGAATTCCATATTTATTTAGTCACTGCCTGATATCGTGGTTAGTTTCTTTAAAATCTTCTGGTTGCAATTTGAGCACCCCAGTATAATAGTTTATTAAACCTATGGCATGCTCATCCACTACCTTGATAAAGTTCTTGCTATTTAGCGCAATTTTGGCTAATCGCTCAATTATAACTAAAATCTCTGCTTGGACATTACTGTAACTTTCGCAGGTAGGTGCACTAGTTCTGTCTTCCACTATTCCGTTGGATTCCTTCCAACAGCGCCGCCTTACCAACGCATGCCTCGTTGTTAGTGGCTTACTTTTCTGAATTCACTTTTCCTACCACATCAAGAAACTTCTCAACTTTGGCCATAGATTTCATGATACCCTCGTCGGTCGCAAACATCTTAAGATCATCCACAAACAACAGATGATTCGTAATGTGCATTCCTTGATCAGTTGGAACCGCACCTTTGGGTACCTTATATGGAGTCGACGGCTCAACGGATTCATGCACAGGACGAATAGCAGCGGAGAAAGGCTAACACCTCAGAAAATTCCTCATTCTATTTTTTTGTCCAATATAGTTTCTCCATTGCTTTTCAGTGTAACTGACTACCTAGGACTGATGCTTCTCTGAAACCTGCTGATCCACGGCGGCACGTTAAGCCTTTCAATGCACTTAATCAGATATTCGTGATTAACTGAATCGAACGCTTTTTTAATATGATATTACGTAGTGTAAAGCTGGTTCCCGTGCTCTTTCCAAATCGCCAGGTTCAACACTGCGTGTTCCTTCACACCTTGAACCTGGGTAATAGTTCCTAATTCATTATCTGCTAGCAGCTTCCTCATGGCAACATCTAACTGCATGACGCGTGCCACACATTTTGTTGTTAACTTGTAGAAGTTCGACATACAAGTTATTGGCCTGAAGTCGCTACCTCGCTACCATTACTTGGGACACCTTTTGAAATCAGGTAGATAGTTTCTTTACAAAACTATGGATCCTTTTTTTTTCTTCCCCATCCAGACATCTTTCTCACTGTTTTGTACAGATGCGCTTGATAGGTGCGCTTGGCAGATGCGGTAAGGAAGTTTTGGAATCCATCAGGTAAAAGATATTTTCCTGTTTGTCTAATTGGAAGGCAAATAGGAAAATATCTTTTACCTGATGGATTCCAAAACAAATTCGGCTTCAGAAAGGAAAGTATCATGCACTTTATGACCTGGAACGAGTTCTTCCAGACATCCGTTGTGCGGGATATCGTCATCCTTTTTCTTCCCCGAGTTTCACACCGAACCCCAAAAATTCCTGATTTCTTCTTTCTCTACATTGTGACTTACGGGCTGTTCTTCAATCAGGTTTCTATAAAACCGTCTTCTGAACAGCTCGAATCTGGGTTTTGTATTTTGAATGCACATCGGGTCTCATAACTTTTTATTTTACT